CAGGCTCAGCAGCCATGGCTCACGGGCTTAGCCGCTCCGCGGCATGTGGGATCTTCCCGGACCGGGGCACAAACCCTGCATCGGCAGTCGGACTCTCAACCACTGCGCCACCAGGGAAGCCCCACAGGTAATTTTTGATCAGGCAGGAATTGGAAACTACCAACTGTAAAATATTCAGAGACAGGTTTATGGGTTTCATTTTTACAACAGTTAAAAATACCTCACAGTTCAAACAGATCCACTAATTAATTGAATGTCTCTTTTTAACACTGGTTTCCCACCAGGAGCCGTATAAAACCAAAACTTAATCTAGGAAAGGTGTGAATTGGGAATAGAGCAAGATTAAACTGAAAAACTCCTTTTAAGGTAGCACATTGCAATGATAAGATATCTGTTATAGAAATAAAGCACAACTAAGAGGAGAAATTAGCATGGATACTCATCCTAAATTGGATATGAATTGTATGGCTTCTTTATTTTCAAATATTGGTACTTCCCAAATTGAAACTTTTCTACATTAAGGCAAAAAAATATACATTTCAAAGCACCATTCAGTGTTTTGTGATCCTGGGCATTGCTTATTTATTATTTATTTTAATTAATTAATGTATTTATTTTTGGCTGCGTTGTGTCTTCGTTGCTGCACGAGGGCTTTCTCTAGTTGCTACGAGCGGGGGCTGCTCTTCATCATGATGCATGGGCTTCTCATTGCGGTGGCTTCTCCTGTTGTGGAGCACGGGCTCTAGGCATGCAGGCTTCGGTAGTTCTGGCACACGGGTTCAGTAGTTGTGGCTCACAGGCTCTAGAGCGCAGGCTCAGTAGTTGTGGCGCACGGGCTTAGTTGCTCTGCGGCATGTGGGATCTTCCTGGACCAGGGCTTGAACCCGTGTCCCCTGCATTGGCAGGCGGATTCTTAACCACTGCACCACCAGGGAAGGCCCATATTTATGTTCTTTAAAATCATCTGCAATTTGACCATTTGGGGAGGCTTGTTAACAGTGAATTATGTCTCCATTCCCTCCCACTATACTGGATTGGTCCCTGAGGTGGAGCCAAGAAATCAGATTTTTTACAAAACTGCAAAGATAACCTATCGCTAAGATGTGACAATCACTATTCAAAGGGTTGTTCAAACAAAATAATGTACAGTTTTGGTGTGTTACCACCTGGTGAAAACAGGTGTTTATCACAGGAGGCCCACGGGCTTAGGAGTATGACTAAGAAAAAGCAGATTAATTTACACCTGCTTTTTAAAAACAGTGGCTCTTTATAACAGTTAAGTACAATAGTCAGATAAACTGATGTTTAAAGAAAGGAGGAGTTTCGGGAAGAGTTTCTAGAAAGATCACTAGACTTTATAAAGACCTGTTTTCAATGCTGTGATTTATCGGCTGTGTGACTAAGAAGTATGTGACTTAACCTCTGAACCTTAGTTTTCTCAAGTATGAATTATGAAAACAAGCCCTATCTTAAATGATTCTGGTTAGAATATAGTGAAATATATGGCCTAAAAACCTGTTAAGTATCATGCAAATGTTTGAAATAACTACTGTTTTTTTCCCAATAATCCTGAACAACACTTCACAACTTAATTTTGCTCTAAATTAAAGAATGACCAGAATGCTTTCAAAGTTTTATAAATCCTTCCTGGTCTTGATATGTACTGCTAAATCTTTATGGGAATTAGGGCATGAAATCTGCTGTTTATCAAATGTTACTGTCTTGACCTTTGACCATAAGAAAGCTTTCATCATCTGCTACAATAGACATTTTACTTTGCTTTCAAAAATTGTCAGAGCTTCTATTTTTGTCCTAACATGGAGCAGAGGGA